GTTTGGCTTTCGAAGCTGGAATCAGAACTGGATTGCGCTCTGCGCTGAACGACGTGCATAGATAACCATCGTCAGGGGCACCAGTGAAACCTACTCCTCGTACAGGAGTCTGTCGCTTCAGTAAAAGTAAAGCAGTTCCTGTCGGCAGGAAACGTTTTTGTCGACATGTTTTAAATGCATCACAATTAGCTGTATTCCAATCTTCATAGACAATTCGTAAAGAACGAAGAACGATGAACAATCGTGTTCATATGGAAGAAAAACTTTTGCGCTCGAATTCGATTGTTTTATACGCATCGGGTTTTACTGTTGAGATTTCTTTCACGTCACTGACATCGATTCCGTGCCCTATATCGTAGTTTTTCCAAGCTGTGAAAATCAGGGAATGGTTCCATGCTTTTGCAACAGGCATGAAGCAAAACATATCATCGGGATTTCCAGAACCCACTGGCTCTTCCATGTTTCCTGAGGTTTCTGCCTAGTGTTGATTGCTGAGCTAATGGATGCTCCCGCTATAATTAAACTTCTCTAGTTTTGTTGGGGGTTGTAGATCAATGTAGTCACCGTTGCCTAATACTACATACTTCTCGGGGGGCTTGCTAATGATTTCAGCCGCTGCAGCTCACCCGGCCACAACACCGCAGTCCGGTCGGAGAATCCGTCGAAGCTGAGTAAGCTACACTGAAATTTATTGTCGATAGTACTTGAACTGTTTTTACTCTCTTACTTATTTGCTTCTTTTCAGGTAAAGCCGTATCCAGCCCTTTTATTGTATTTGCGCTAAAATAATGTCAGAAACACACCAGCAAGATGAAAAATCCTCTCAAAAAGGCATTTTAAAACCACCAAAACAGAAAATTAAACAAAAAACTTTCCAATGGGATGAAGTTAACATCATGGCCACATACCACCCTGCTGACAAAACATATGGTCACATGAAAATTGAGGAACCGAAAACTCCTTTCGTTTTTGAGAATACAGATGGTGGTACCAACTCATATGGAGCTTCCTTCTCAGCTGAAGAGTTAGCAGCGCGGCTGGCAGCAGCTGCTGAAAATGAAAATTCGCCGGTAAGTCTGACACAAAATTTAAAAAATGCACGAGTGAGCATAACGACATCACACACCAGTGTACGAGAGCTATTATCATCGTTTTTTTATTTCACACTTGTCTTTTTTATTACACAACGCGAATTACAATAAAAGAGGAAACCCCCATGGACAAGGGAGCATTCACATAAGATCCAGATCATTGATTTTGCTTGAAAAGTGTAAGATTGTAAGTTGGGGGAAAACAGCAACTGGTAGGGTGTTCCACAGCTTGGCAGTTCGGGGGAAAAGATTGGAGCAGAGGGGTGTGACATCTGGGAACAGAAACCTGATAAGGATGACTAGATGCCTGTGTACGAAATCGTCTAGTAAAAGTTGCAGGAACAGGAACTACCGAGGCAAGTTCCGAAGACCAAAAAACAAAGTAGTAGCGGCAGAACAAGGACAATGAAGCAACTGCCCGACGATGGGCTAGCGACTGAAGAGTGGATGTTAGGGAAGAATCATCGATTAGCCGATCGGCCTTTCGTTGAACATGATCAAGAAGAAAAAGGGAAGAAGACAAAGCCCCACCCCACACATGACTGCAGTATTTAAGAGCAGAACGGATTTGAGCTTTGTACAATAGAAGATGAGCTGGCCTAAAAAAATGTGTGGTGCAAAATAGAACTCCAACCTTGCGCGCAGCACGAGAAGCTATAAAAGGGGACCAGCATAAATAAAAAGTTATAAGCAATCCAAGAAGGGAGACAGAGTTGGGTGGAATTAAAAGATGAATGGGAAGGGAGAAGGAATGGTGTTTTGAAGAAATTGAAAGAAGAGAGGTTTTAAAACTATTGAATGAAAAGTAGTTTGCAATGCCCCAGGAGGAGATGTGTTCGAGATTGGAGTCCAGTGACAGATTAACTGCACTACGGTCACCATCGATGTTAGTTTGGGCATGGCGAGCAGCAGTAGGAGAGGGAACAGTGGGGGGTGGCGTCGTCAGCAAAAGACTGGATCGGGTTGATAGTTTTGGAAATGAGATCATTGATGAATAGACGGAAGAGGGTGGGTGCAAGTACTGAACCTTGAGGAACACCAGCGTTCACTGGGAATGGCTGAGATAGAACCCCATCAACTCGGACGGAGATAGTTCGCTTACTAAGAAAACTTGATATCCACTCTACGAGCGCCAGCGGGAACCCTAACATGAGTAGTTTCGCCACTAGACCTTCGTGCCAAACTCGGTCGAAGGCCTTTGAGATGTCAAGCGAGACGAAGTGCGTTTCTCCGTGGTTATCGATTGAAGCTGACCAGCAGGTCACCGGTGAAACGACGCTGTCGGAAGCCAAACTGGTGGTCGCTCAGTGGTCCTTCGCGTTCAAGGAACGTGCCTAGCTGGTCAGAGATGATAGTTTCAAATACTTTTTAAAGAAGAAATGTTAGGGAAATGGAAAAAATCACGGTTTGTTTCCAGGGTGTTAGAAAGGAAAAATGTCGGAGGGAAAGACTGAAAAGACGACGTATGATAGGAGCCAGCTTGGGAGCGCACATTTTGAGGACGTTGGGTGGAATACCGTCTGGACCGAGTGGCTTGTTTGCGTTTATAGGGCGCAATGTTTGACGGATTTTCCTAGTGCTCATATTAGGTAGATAAGGGTTGCCAGTGAAGAAGGAAGAAGATGGAGGTGTAGAAAAATGGTGTAAGGTGGAATTGGCGGCAGACTGCGAAGCAAAAGCCTCGGCTTTCTCGTATAGTTGACATACAGGGTCACCAGAGGAATTACAGATGGGGGGGGAGTTGAAAGTTGGTCATAGGCCCTAACCCGACCTGAGGTATGACGATACAACTCTGAGGATCGACACACTTCTCAGGGACTCTATTCCTCAGCAAATAGTTCCATAGAGCGGTCCTATCGACAGAGTCAAAGGCCGCGCGGATGTCCAAGAATACAATGATCGTTGGTCCTTGCTGGGCATGGCAGTGCTGAAGCAGCTGTCGGAGGGTGATCGATGCATCCACGACCCAGCCTGCCCTTCGCGGGTCTTCTTCTCACTCAGTGTACAATCGGCGGAGAATGACGGACGCCAACAGCTTTGACGCTTTCGAGGTCAAGATTATAACCCTATGGTTGGTGCGGTCACTGCTCGGGCTCATTTTAAACACGACAATTGAATCCCCCCACCCACGAGAAAGGGCGTGTTAAGTGCGCCACACTTTAGAGAACAGAGTCACTAATTCTCTAACATGTTTTATTCCACCATCTTTAAATAGAGCTGGGGGAAGGCTATCGGAGCTCGGCGCATTGTAACGCCCCAAGAATGGGATCTCCTTACTGATTTCCACCTCAAAAGGTGGGTCTTTCGAGACAGACCATGTGTGCCGGATTAGCTGTGTGAGAAACTGACGCTGGTGGCCTGATAAACTCAAAGTGCTGCACCCAGCGTGCAAGAAGTCGCTGTTGATTCTGACTGGGAGAACCGTCAGCTTCGCAGATCGTTTCGCTCATACCCAAGGCTTTCCTACTCGTGATTCGGATGAAATGGAATAGCTTACGGGAGTTTCCCAAAGCGGCAGCACATTCCATCTCTGACGCTCGTTGAGTTCACCAGATATCGCGGTCTCTGCGTAGACTTGCATTAATTTCACGTCTGGTTAAGAGTCGTGTTTCATTATGTTCGCTGCCGGTCGAATTGAACGACGTGCGTCAAGAAGACGTACAGAATCTTCAGAGATCCAGGGTGTCACGGCGCGACGTGCCAGACCACAACTAACTAAGCCAGTAGATTGCAGAGCATTCTTGATAAAGAACCAGTGCCGATCGATGTTATCGGATAGGGTTGGTTCTAGCTTTTCAGCTGGTGAGTTTTGGAAGACAGTTAGATAAGCTGGTTTGGCAGCTTATCACAGTCTAAACGTTGTATCGTACGTTTGGAACGCCCACCGAAGCAAATCGATAGATTGTAGCGTACTAATGCGTGGTTGGATTCGAGGGAAGTGCTCCAGTACGATCAGTCTTGAATGCAGCCCCGCCATTTGTGGCTTATCGCGATGTGGTCTATCTGCGTCCGTTTCTGACTCGAGGAGGATAGGCGCCAGGTGGCTTACCGTCAATTGAAGCGTCTGAGGTTCGTACTGGCGAAGAACAGGCGGTGGTCGGAAAATAACTAACAGCTGTTCCCCGTTTTCCGATCGATAGGAGTCTAGTCCAAAAGGACATCCCAGGTGCGCCTCACACGAAGTCAGTTGACCTTCTTTAGCATTCATATCTCCTACTAAAATCACGATATCACGATATAGCTTTACGCAAGAGGTCGTGTAGATTATGGTGAAATTCATCTTTGACTGCATCTGGGCTGCAATCCATTGGAGCGTACGAGTTTCGCCTATCGTGGCGACGGCTGCTTACCTTGCACAAACCTCTGGGTTTCACTGCGCACAGCCTACTGTCGACTGGGACCCAATCCAGGAGGGCGGTTTCAGCTCTCTTANCGAGCCACGCTGAAGCCAGCAAGACCGGAAGCCGAGCCTCAGAGTCTCCAGAGAGACGTAAATGAAACTTTACAGATTGGTTTGATGGAGAAGTCAATCGGATAATGGAGTGCTGAATGCGAGTTGTTTGGATGCAACACACATTGATTGGTAGGGTCTGGAGCGTCCGAGCTAAGCGTGCCGGTTGTCCTATACACAGATTGCGCACATTAAACGTACTAGTTTGAATAGGCGTCGAGGGCGAAGAAAGGCTTAAACTGGTGGCGGATTCGGTGAGACTGGAATGTCAATGGAGTTAGGGGAAGAGGGAATAGCGGCAGAGTTTCCGTCCGGGGTACTACTGTTAGTACGGTCATCTAAAGGACCCGAGAGAGAAGGAGGTGTTTTCTAGGTAAGCATGGGAAAACAAGAGGGTATGTACGGTGTAAAACGTTTTTTCACTCGATGACTAAGCTTCAGAGCACAGAGTCATAAAATCAAGTGAGTCCATGGTTGTGTGCGTTGTGGGCTATTGTGCTACTCGGTTTCCCGGTCCAGAGTAGGCCTTGCTCGGGGATACACTCTAGCCTTTGCGCAACCAAGCGCGGACTGCAAGGCAACAGTGATGTTCCAGATGGGCCAGTGGCCAGTTTTCGGTTTATTCGCCTCTTCTGAAAACCTTGCCGAACAACAGATTTTGACAAGGGGTGATAGTCATATTTAGTGGTGGGCCACACTCACCACGTCACAGCGCTGTCCACAGATATTTGTGGTGTTTTGTACGGAGAACCCTTGCCAAGGGGTAAACCACCACATCCTCGAGCGCTGCCGCTGATCGTTCTCGACCGCTTATTCGGAGGGCCGAAGCCCGCCTTATTCACGGTTAGTTGTGAGATAACGGCGGTTCCCCTATCCGCAACTTGGGAACGCGCTCGGTAGCATACATCTCTGCTCTCCGGTAACAATGTACAGTTCCTAAAAGGTTGACGAACATGAACATTGAAGCGGATCATATGATGACCTTCGACGTTACCGCTGTAATCACCATCTATATCGATGTGATGAGGGAGGAAATCATAGATGACTATAGAAGACCAACGGCAAACTTGTGGTGGCAGTGTGCTAGTTGATCATTATAAAACCATGCTATAATTACTGTAAGAATGATCAACGGTAATCTTCGTTGTAGTCAGAAAGTTCTCCAAATCAAAATGCTGAATGTCAAAAAAAGATTCTGAGAACGTGAGGCCCGTTCACAACAGTTGTCCGGTCTTTCACTTTCTGTTTGTGAATAATTGCAGAAAGAAACAATCTGTGGTGAGGCGATGTTTTCAGTGGTAATCAGTGCTGTGGCAAAAAACAGTGGTCACGGTAATGCGCGGGCTGGGTCGAGTAGTATGACCTTTTGCTCCTCGTTGGGGTTCAAAAGACAATCTATGAACAGCTGGAGTTTTATCAGTTCTAGTGGAAGCTTCGTCTCTTTTTGCTTCCTTGTATTGAACACATGAAGATAATGACAAGTTTCAGGAGGAGAGAAGCGGTCAATTAAAGTTGAATTTTTCTCCTCCGTGGANTGTCTTTAATCTGCTTGGGATTGTTATGTGACAAGTGTCCAAGAGAGAAGCTTACTGCAATATATATTCCATTGTGTTCCTTTCAAGTGATCGCACGGTCGGGCCAGTACAGTTGACGATACGCCAGTAAGCATCAGGGTGTCGTCATTTTCCCTGTAAAAAGAGCCAAGCAGTTAGTCTGGATATCACTCCCTCCAAAAAAAAGNNNNTAAGTAAACAGCTTGTTCTGAGTGATATGGGTGATTGTCGTACAGTGGCGCTCGTACATCTACGCATTATCCTTGCCACATTCTATATGAATTCCCTATCCTCTCTTTGACTCTGCTGTCAATATTACAATCTCCTACGCTTTTATTCAGATGGACAACCGAAAGACGGAAACCACAACAACCACATTAAAGTGCATAGTTAATGGTTGCGAAAACTAAAACAGAACCTTCCTTTTGTTGAGTGTTCTCGATATGAAAATGGGCAAGATAATTTGCAATACAAGTGGTAACATTGGAGGTCGTTAAGGGTTTAAACTGAACCCGCCCATGCAAAAATTGATGACCACATACCTGCCTCAGTATCGTCACTGGATTATCGATCCATCTTGTTGCAACTCGCTTTGCTACACAATCGACCGAGGGCAATCACCGCCGAATTCTTTCGTTCTCGTCCAAAAGTCTTTTGATCAAGGGTCGAGGGCGTAACGTTCCCGGAATTAAACAATCAAACTCCACCCCTCCCCTCTCACAAGGTAACTTTTTCAAAAGTACATTGCCTACTTAGGGGAAAATCAGTTCATTCCGACTGGATGGGATTTGTGATAGTCCCGGTCCAATAGGTAACGTGTGACGACAGAAGCACCAATCGATTTGTGGGGATACCGTTAGAGCGCGATTGGCGGGTTCACTTGAAGTTGAAAAAAATTTGAACCATTTTCGCAACCGCTTCGTGGAGAGCACGAGGGGCTGTGATACTGTACCACATTGTCTGCTTTGTTTCGAATTTATTCATTCCATATACGGGTTACAGTGACTCACTTCATAAACCAATGAACCGATATCTTATCTGCTTCCTATAATTACATCTACTGTACTGTACTTTATTTATAAAACTGGCCTTTGATTTTAAGCATTTGTATACTTATTGCCCTGGAAAATATGCAATTGATTTCATTGTAGCATAACGTTAATGATACGTGCAAGTTTATTGTTTATTTATTTTCTTCAGACGCGGGCAGCAATGGAGCTAGAACTCCTGGATCCCGAGGAAGCAGCACATCAGAAGGCGTTCCGGGAGAAACGTAAAGCACACTATAACGAATTCCTCGCGGCCAAAATGGCTAACGAACGGTTGGAAAATGCCGAAGATACTGATGAAGATGATGAACTGGACAGGGCAGCCGAAGAAGCCGCGCGTAATGCCCGCTTAAATGCCGAGATGTCACGTGCGGCTCGAGCTGCCCAACGAGAAGCCAGTCCATCCAGTCCGGCTCGGAACTCACCTCACGATAACAGAGCGGGACGACCCCGTTAACCGATTTGCTATGCCATACATTTCCCTTTGTATGAGATTTTGACCCTGCTTTTGGTCTTCCTCTATTTGGTGTTTCTTCTGGTGATTGTAATTACCGGTGTTCATACCGCATCGATCTTCCGACTTTCAACCCTTCTCGCCGTGTTCCGATTCCCCGGGTTCTTTCAAGTCAAAATCGGGGCTTACATTACAGGCAGTCCATCTTTTACTATTGTGGTGACTGGACGAAGGTCGTGCAAATCATCAAATGGTTTCCATACAGTGCTTTCCCCTCTGTACCATATCTGAATTCCCTTCACAACAGTCACTCCTCTACCGCCTCACTAAACCGTGTCGTGCCGTTTGACTCTGATCATCATACTCGCGTTCCTGACCACTTCTGCCCTAAAACAGCAGTGTATAACTCAGTCATCCCGCGCATCCTGTCTTCGGTTTGCGTGAGTCTTTTATGGGCTATCTGTCATGTTTCCTGTCCCGAAACTGTTTTCTGTATTTAAACCTCCATTGCAAACTGTGAAACGTTTCTTATCAGAAGTTGTCAACTGAACCAGCCTCTCATCAGTTACCTACTGTTATGTGCCTGCCACAGCGATGAGGCAGAATTTCTGTAGATGCGATAGAATTGCACACAGATGTAGTGTCAGTCAGTGAGGCTTCCGAATCCCTTTGAACAAACCAAATGCTTGTTTATTTCTTTATTCGGCTTTAAACCATGGTGTTGTGATTACAGCCTGAGTGCAGCCTGGCATTGTCTGGGGAATGTGAATTTGCTGATTACCAGGCAAGCTTTAGTGGATTCCTTTTTGCCAAATTAAAATACTCAGGAAAGTGATTGCGGTTTTGAAACGGTTTCTTGTTTAGAGAGACTGAGTAAATGACCGTAATACGTTAATTGAAACACCACCGGAATCCCTCAAGCTGTCGAAACATGCGATTATACGAGTCAATAACCTTGATATCCGACATGTTTGTATTTGTGGGGATTTTATAGTCGTGTAGATAAATTTCAGTCAATAGCAATCTCTCAAAACGACCACATGGGATTTGTACAAAGGTCACGAAATGGGTTAAAAAAGTGGGAAAAATAACTGCTTTTATGACTCGAGTATCACAAAAAATAGTTTTACGCCCTAAGGTTAGGGTGCCACCATTTTGTAAACACAAGCGAAAGACGAAGTAGGGGAGTTATCATATGTGAGATAATATATATGGGAAAGCTGAAACGTATTTTGGCGTTGAGTGATAGGAAAAAAGACCGGAGTATAATAGATCGTTGCTACCGGACTATTTTGTGAGAAAATCGTGCCCAGCGATCAGAAAAACTGATCACCGACAAGCAAGAACACGGGATTGATCAACCTAATACGGTTGATACGCCTAGTTCAGTCACTGACAAAGTATTTTTAGAGTGATTATTTTCAACGCGACATAGTTGACCTGCAGATCGCCTCAGTGGTTCTCAAAATTGCAGAATCGGCTTAAAATTAAAACTGGTCTTGTTCAAATTCGCTTTCAGTCAATTTTCTTTCCAATCTGGCCATTATTGATTTTGAACCTGAACTGGGGTAACACTAAGCATATGATTACAATCAATTCGGACTAACAAGTGTTGCAAATTGTGCCACAATTTTCTTAGTTCAAGGAATGGAGTTAAAAATATTGAATTTATTTTCTACTTGACTGGTTTCCACCTGGCTTGCTGTTCGGAGGTTTGGCTAGCAAATCACCGATACGTCCGTTGCACTGATGACGCCAGCTCCTAGGGAAGAGTTGGAGTAAGTAGTCCGCAAATGTCGAATTGAGCTGAAGGGTCGCACGCTAACTCCAGTTATATGCAACCTGTGTGAACATATAAATTGTAAGACGGAACCGTTTGATTCCACTTTTTTGTCGCTACTTCCTATAAATTGCTGTATTGCATGGTTATTGTGACTTCTGTATGCTTAGTGCCTGCATTTCAGTTAATATATACGTAGTGGTGGTCAAATAGTCAAGTTTCGAAAAACATGCATGGATCTGTTCTTTGTGAACCAGTATACGTTTCAGTTTCAGTTTCTACCACCATGCTTTCTTGCGCCGGTTTTGGTTGCTGCCTTTTGCCCGCCCGAAAGTTGGAAATAGATTCGAACAGAAAATGAAGAATTTCAGTGGTCTAAGGTTACAAAAAGATTGGGAAGATGCATGAACGCCACTGTTTACGACACCCAGCCATATCACTCAGTGTTTAATCATCGGTTACGATCATCCCGAGGTGCCCATCCAAGGAGCCTAACTTGACCTATCTGACCCAGTCCCCTGGCTAGGGCTTTCATACCCTCATGCCAGGTCTTAGCTTGACCACCCTTGACATTTTTCCACCCACTACCTGTATCGGCGAACATCGATCGCCGTGGCAACATATCTGGTGACATGCACAACACTGCACCAATCAGCGTGATCTTAGGAGGTCGACCACTTGCTCCAGTGGGCCACCACGATTACCTAAACCTCTACGCCTAACCTCAGCATTGCTCGCCTGGCTTCCCCACCGGATTCGTGCAGTGCTACGTAGACAGCGGTGTTTGAACACCGACAGTTTATCTTTATCCTGTTTCCTTGATTGTCAAGTTTCTGCGCCGTATAGTAGAACTGGTTCAAGTGCGGCGGCATGCACTCGACCCCTCACAGAAAATCGGATGTCGCGACGGCGCCACAGATGTCTCAAGTTGGCAAATGCCAACCGAGCCTTCTGTATGCAAGCTGACACTTCATTCATGATGCGTCCACCGGGTGAGATGTAGTTGCCCAAAAAGCAAAACTTATCCAGTTGCTCCATTACCTTACCGTTTAGAGTGAGGCTGGGTGTTGGACCAACCCAGTCTTGGAGTATCATTTTACACTTTGAAGGTGCAAACCGCATACCGAACACGGATACGCTGGCGCTCAAGCTATTCAGAAAAGCTTGCAACTTACCTGCATCTTCGCTTAGCAGCACAATGTCGACCGCGTAGTCCAGATCAGACAGTCTGCCACCTGAGAGTAAATGGATACCGCCATTCTCGAACGAGGATAGGGCTGCTTCCATAATAAAATTCATAACAAAGTTAAATAGAAAACGAGAAAGAGGGCAACCTTGATGAACTCCACTTTCCTTGGTGAACTCGGGCGAAAAGGTGCCGTAAGCCGCACTCGACTTCGGCTATTAGTGTAGAGGAATTGTAACATTGAGACAAACTTTTCGGGCACACCCTTTAGAGCGAGGCGGCAGCAGAGTTTGGAGCGGTCGACTGAATCGAAAGCCGATTTCAAATCGAGGAAAACAGAGATGGTGGGTTTATGAAAAGAATGTCGATGCTCAACAATCTGGCGGAGAGTGGAGATGTGGTCGATACAACCTCGACTATGTCTAAAACCAGCCTGGTTCTCACGCGTGCACCGCTCACGTGCGGCAGACAATCAACGGAGTATGATGACAGCGAGAGACAATGTTGCTTGAACTAATTCCTCTGCGGTTTTTGCAAGAGGATCTGTCATCATTCTTGTAAATCGGTATGATCACCGATTCACACCATTCAGTTGGAACCTGTTCCCTTTCCCATCTTGAGCCCGGGAGTTTCGTCAACACTAAGAGTAACGCTGAGCCTCCAAGAAAATTCACCTGCCTTGGCCTGGGCAACCTGGCAGTATTCAGCCCACAAGCCAATCATAGAACGTTTTATTTTCTTTTTTATAACTATTATTGTATCATGATTTGCCTGGCACACAGTCTGTCCTCAGACGTGTATATATTTTCACGCTTGTCTGAAGACAGACTATGTGCCAAGCAAATCATGGTACAATGTTCTTTATAAAAAAGGAAAATGTCCCACGGTTGGCTTGTGAGCTGAATACTGCCAGGTTGCCCAGGCCAAGACAGGTGAATTTTCTTGAGGAACCCACAACCAGAGTCTTCGGCTAGCCAAAGCCTGACCCGCAAGGCAGCGGGCGGTGTGTTAACACCGCAAGACAAGTGTGAAATATATAATATATAATCCTTAAACGTTGGTAGGAACAGTCCATCTGGGCCAGAGGTCGTATGTCTTTTGAAGTAACTTATTTCCCGAGAAACCTCCATTTCAGATGGAGGACTAGCATCAACTGGGAGTATTTGCCCAATCGAGATAGCGGGCGATAGGTCAGATGTCGATGGGGGCCAGTTAAACTGAGCCTTGAAATGTTCAGCCCGTCGATGAAGACGGCGTTGCTGATTGTGAATCAGTGTGCCATCGGATTCCTTAATTACCTCACTTACGCCTATTTTCCTTGGCCCGTATTCCTAATTAGACCGTAAAGACTGCGACTATTAACAATAGCCGCAACCTTGTCTATCTCCCTACACTTTCCTACCCACCACTTATCGCGGTCATTCCTGGGACTCTTGATAAGCTAGTGTTTAAGGGATTTGCGCGCTGTGTCATATGTGGCATCGGGAGGGAGGGTTCGGTGAGCGTCCAGCAGGGTAACCAGGGTTGACGAGATCCATCGTTTATGTTTGAGCCTGCACCAGGGTCCGACGTTGTTTTTTATCGATATTTGCATAGTTTCCTTGATTTGCCTCCAGTGTTCATTGAGTCCTTCGGTTGGTGGTTGAACTGAGAGGCTTCGAAGGCCGATTTGTAACAATCACTGACATTGTATCATGGGTATCTGTTGTCGGTGGTCAAAGAGGGTACCGTTGAGTCACGCTGTATGTTTATGCCTGAGGAGACGCGACGACACTTTTATGTAGTAGACGGATGGGAACGACGGAATGAAATCTTTGGGCAGCGGATGAGAGGATCCGTAACAATCCTATGCAAACTTGTCAAATGACGTTCCCACAGATTGGTGATCAACTTCTCTAGCGAGATTGAAGAGACATGGTTAATCCACGTCCAGGCAGTTTGAAGTCTTTCTTTAAGAGGTCAGGAAAGATCTCGTTGCAGAAACTGCACATGGGTGATCTATGTTTTCAGATAATGCTCGGGAAGCCCCATCTGTTC